ATCATCGTCGTCGTTTTTTTCTCCCTGGAAAAAGAAGGAACTGTGATTAAGTGAAATGTGTTTGGGGTGTTGTCGTTGTCTTTTTTTTCGTTGTTCTTTATTACTATTATTTTTTCTTTTTTTTTTGGTTTTTTTTCTTTTATCTTGTTTTAGCCGAAGAAAAAGAACTGAAAAAGAGATTTCGTTCAGTTTTTGGATCGGTTGCTGTTTTGTATCGGCATTCACCAATGCATTTTACTCGCGTGAATTAATATTTACTCTTGTTTTTGTTTCGCTTGCTTTTTTTAATATTTACACAAGACAGGCTCATCATTTCTTGCGCAAGACTTCTCCGCAGATGTCCAATTTGTTTTTATTTTTACTCTTGTTTTTTGTTATGCTGGAAAGCAAGGCTCAATTTTGTGTTTGGTAATGCGTTTGTTTATAACTTCTTATTTTTTTCATTTTTTCCTGCCTCTAGTTTCTGTTGGTTTTTCCATCCATCTCAATTATGCTTTCTTTGAATGCCTTTTATTATCATTGTCAAAGCAGTGTTGTTTTCCCCTTCATTTTGCTTTCAACTTTTTTCTTGACGATGAAGTTAAAAAGAAAAAATTTGTTTTTTATGGTGTAGTTATGTCTGTTGTTAGGGTTTGGAAAGTGAGGAGACGAAGAACGGGAAGGAGCTGTAATGCTGACGGTGTGGTGTTTGATGGTTACCTGTGTGGATTTGTCTGTGTGCCTCTGTGTTTTGTTGTTTTTGTGTGGAAGTATCTGGTTAGGTTATTTTAAATTTTGGCAGATATTTTTGCTTCGAAGTATAGTTGCTTTGGGGAAAAGATGTTTTTGGGTTGGCCGGTTTTTTTTTTTCTTAGTAACTTTGAGGCAGTGAAAAGATTGGAAAAATTTGTTTTTAAGTTTTTCTGCTCTAAAGTTTTCGAACGATGACGGTTTTCGTTGGGGAGGTGGGTTAGCAACTTCGTTATTCTTGCCTTTATAGTTCTGCCTTCGTAGTCATTATGGTTGTTATTGCTATTATCATTGTTCTAACTTTCTTCATCATTTATCGTTTTTGCTGTCGTCGTCGTCTTCATTTCCTGTAGTGTTAAATTTTTTT